TATGCCGACTTCGTCTCTCGCCTGGACACCTAATCCATTACCAAGTTCGTAAATTTATTCTTCAATTTATCTCAAACACTCATTTTCTTTACGAATTTCTTAATTTATGTGATGAAACCCAGATCTGGGTTTGTTGAAGCTCCGATTTTCTTCTTGTTCAACAAGGGTTTGATTTTCATCTGCAGTTGCAGCAATTAGGTTTAAGTTCGACAGCAAGATCTCAGCCTTTCCTGGGAGGGAAGGAAACTAAGCCGTCGATCTAATTTGTATTCGGTGTTTTCGATTGACTTTTGGATCCTCTTTGTGCTGATTTGAACGAATTTTAACTGAGTTGGAGCCAATTTATTTTGATTTAATTTAAACTGCAAACCAAATCTGGGTCCTTCTGCTACTACTGCCGTCGGCCTTCTTCTTTTTCTCTCAAATCCAGATTTGGATTTGAGAGAAGAAGAAGAAGGCCGACGGCAGTAGTAGCAGAAGGTTTGGCTCGCTGTTGTCGACGGTGACGATCATCACTTGCTTCTCGACCATTTGAGAAAACCCAGAGCCTGGGTTTGCAGAGGTAAGAGAAAAGGAAAGGTGAAGGAGAGAGAAAATGAAAGAGGAAGAAGAAGAAGAAATCTGACCTGGGTGAAAAAAAAAAAGAATTATTATTTTTAAATTAAATAAAAATACCAACTCATAAAAAAATGCCAACTATGTTTTTTTTTTTCATGTCATTAGTTAAGAAAAAAAAAATTGATTTGCTGTCATTTTAACGTACCACCTGTCATTTAACTAACGGAAGGACAATTTTGGTATCGAAAATAAAAGTTTAAGAATAATTTTAGTACTTTTTAAAGCTGAGGGATAATTTTGGTGCCAAAATGAAAAGTTGAGGGATCAAAATGGTACTTAAACCAACAAAAATCAAAGAGAGAGTAAGGAAGAAGAGCTTGTACAATGATTTTATAGAGGTTCGGTCCAACTACTTAAAACCTAGTCCTCTACCTTGACTTCACTCACCAAGGATTTCTTCCACACTTTCCACTAACAAAATCAAGGGTGGTTTAAATGAGTCATTCAATCCTTTTACAAGAAGAATGGTGTTTCTCTTAAATCTCACTCCTTTACAAAATAAACCTAAATAATCCTCTCTACAAATCTCTCTTGAAGAAATAATCACACCCCCAAGATCACTCACAAATAGAATAAGAAGAGGATTACAGGTAAAGATCTCTCAAAAATTAAAATCTCAAGTTAAAGCACAAGTTGATAGGTAAAGATATTCAATACAATACTCTTCAAACTTCTTCTAGATCTTCTACTAATCATATTTATAATCCCATGATCGAAAATAGCCATTACTAGTCGTTAGGAGTCATTTAATGCTCTGCAGGTCGCTTAATTTGAGTTGCAGAATTGTCATCACAGCTGGTTTACACTTCTAGAGCTGGCTCTACAACCGGCTTAAGTAAATCTGCAGCCAGCTTAAGTAAATCTGCAGCTGGCTTTGCGAATTCCTGTACATTCTGTTTTCTCCGTAAAGCCGACTACAAAACGTAAAGTCGGTTTTACAGGTTTTCTGCACATTCTGTTTTCTTGAACAGTCGGCTACAAATCATAAAGCTAGCTTTGGGATTTCAACTTTAAACACATTAAATAATTTTCAAATAACTCGACCGTTGTGCATTAAATGCACCCTCATAGTCGGCTGCAAAATCAAAGCTGGCTTAGCATCTGTTTTTCGTGCATGTCAAACAACAGACTTGAAAGTTTCACCCGTAGAGCCGGCTTTCTGCATTTTTACCTTCCATAGCCAGTTGCACATTTTTTTAAGCCAACTCTCTGCACATTTCAACCTTTTAGTCCATTTTTAATGCAGTCCAAATTTACTTATTTTACAATCTTTTGAAATTGTAACTACACATTTAAATAAACCAATTAGTCATTCAAATATATTTTGTAATTATTAAAATCATAGGTATAGCATCTTGTATGCTTTGAGCATAAGCTAAACGTTTATTAATTACACATTTTTTATTAATTGTTATAAAAAATTAAAAATTAATTTTAATTTTATCAATTGTTTAATTAAAATCGTACATGTAACATTTATGTTGAAAATACAGTTAAAATTTGTGATTCTTTATAAAAATTAATAGAAAAATGATGCAATTAATGCACTCTTAATATGTACCCCTAGAGTATAAATTAGATAAATCTTTTTATAATAGATAAATAATAATTAAGATTTTATAGTTGATAAAAAAAATTAAGATTTTGTATTTTTTAGATATAGTTTTTGTTAAATAGTTTCAATTGATAAAAAAATTTTCATTATCATTTATATACTACTAGAAGCATTGCCTTAATTCCATAAAAAAAAAAAAGCATTAAAAAATTAAAAGACATATATTTTTTGAAACATGAAATAGTATTTTTCTTTTTTTCCTTTATTATTTATTTTTCCTTTTTGGGTACAGCCTTTATTTTTCTTATTGAGCACGTGAAAGTTTGGGGACAAGCTTTGGAGTCTTAATTCCAAAAGGCGTCACTGACTAATTCACATTTGAAAAAATTAATCATTAAATTAAATATTATATTTAATAGGTTAATTATGTATGTTAATTTTTAAAGTAATTTTAATATTTATAATTATATAATGGAAGAAATTGCATTATATTTTTCTTTGATAGTTTAAAAATTAGCTATTTAGTATCACAAAATTTTGAATTAAAGAAGGCTGGACAATGAGCTTGCATTATAATAATAATAACCTCAAGTGTCTTGTTAATTTAAGGTTTAACTTTATTTTCTCTTAAAATTAAAGAAAATGATTGAGAAACAATTTTATAAGTAATTTTTTCATACAGCTTTATATGTCATTTCATAATTAGTTTTTTTACTCTATTAAAATTTGCGATATTATGTGTATTTATTCATTTAATAATATGTAAAAAATATATAAAAAACTGTCAACATATCATTACTCTAAAATTAATTAGGTGAAAATGTCGAGCTATATAAAATTATATCATGTAAATTTCAGGTTGTAAAAACTGATAATGTGAACCAAATCATAAGTTAATATGTAGGTCCAGCACAATAATATTGGAAATATTGAGGATCCAAACAAAACCCATCCTATATCTTACTGTAGAGACATGTGTGCTCTATCAAAGAGAACTACAAATATAGGCCCCATACAATGATCGCGGGTTCTAATAACCTAGATTGTGGGTATAACCCATCGAGAGAACTTACATTGATTCTCGTGGTTCTCTTTTCTATATTAAATAGTGTTGGAATAGGCCCAACAGGCCCAACGCCCAAACAGGGCTATGCATAACGGGTCTAGGTTACCACTTATTAGCCAAGCTGAAGGAGCATCAGTACAAGCATACCCACGTGACCAGCGCCACGTGGGCCAATGGGGTGCTCACACATGCAGATATATGTCAGCACCAAGGGGCTATAAATACCCCCCAACTACCTCCGATGAAGGTAATTAATATCTACGCTTCTCTCTCTGCAATTACTCCTTGAGAGCATCTCTCTCTAGAATATTGAGTATTGCTGACTTGAGCGTTGGAGTGTTTTCCCCGAGGAAACAACCTCGGGATTTTCAGGTGTAGAAGCAGCTAAAGACTTCAACAGTGTTGGATTGTGAAGCTGCCCAAACATTTGGCGCCGTCTGTGGGAAACTCGAACAACAAATTGTGTGACTAAACCTGCTGAAAGACAAAATGGTCCGTACCTTTACAGGAGGTCGCCCTCCAAGAAATGAAATGGACGAACAGGAGAATGCTCACATATCTGAGCCCGGCTTGAATGACTTTAGGCCAATGCCAAGAAATCTTTTTGTAGGAGGAGCCGAACAGGATCACCTAAGTGAGACGGATGATGAAAGAACACCAACTGGGTATGCAACCCAGCCTGAACAGTTCCAAGTTCCAACAGGAACAAGACGAAGACCTTCTAGACCACACAATTCACAGCATGAACGACCTGAAAGGTCAATAGAACCTGCTCGGACAACCGAGCTCGAAGAGAGAACTAGAGTTCTCAAAATGGCAATGGGTAAAATCCTTGCTCGCCTAATTCCTGATGACCCCCTGATTCCTTTGCTGAACAGGGATGCACAATTAGCTGTGGTTGTTGCAACTAGAAACTCCCCCACTCTAAGCAATATAGTAGTGCTGACCAGGCCAAGGGGAAGTGGGAAGTTAAATATCGAGCCCAGCTCGTCCAAACATAGTGAAGAATTGATGAGAAAGAACGCAGACCTTGAAAGGCAGCTGCGGGATGTACAGAAATCCATTGACGAGCTGAAAAGTCCCAGGTCGCGTCAACAGACTCTGGATTTGGATAGTGCACCGCTAAACTTATCCATTACGGCAGAACCGTATCAAGAGGGATTCAAAATTCCCCACTTGGAGACATATGATGGCACGGGTGACCCTGATGAACATCTGCACACCTATCAAGCCATCATGAGAATTCAAAACGCCAATGATGCCATGATGTGCAAAGTGTTCCCAGCAACACTTAAGTCAACAGCCAAGAGATGGTATCACAAACTCCCCAAACATTCAATAGATTCGTTTTCCCAGCTCACCAAGCTGTTTTCTAACAAATTTGCGAGCCAAAGGGAGATCAAGCGCACAGCAATTGAGCTGATGCAAGTTAACCAGAAGGAAGGGGAGTCTTTGAGGGATTACATGCAGCGCTTCAACAAAGCCACCTTGGACATTGATAATGTCCCAGACACGATTTGCCTGTCCGCCCTGTTGCATGGGTTGAAGCGTGGCCGGTTCCTAGATGACCTGCTTGAAAACCCACCGAAGACGTGAAATGAGGTGAATGACAGGTCGGCCAGCTTCATACTGTCAGAGGACTTTCAGTCGTCCAAGCGACGAGCTGATGATAAGCCGAGCAAAGGCCAGGAACAACAACCGAGAAGAGAAGAGAAGAAGCAGAAGGTCAATGAGCAATGGGGGAAACCAGCTGAGTTCTCGAAATATGCCAGTTACATTCCTTTGACCTTACCTAAGTCTCAAATCCTGGCACAAATTCAGCACTGGGTTAGGAGACCTCCACCCCCACTACATGATTCCCCGAGGGCAGACAAGAGCAAGCATTGTGACTACCACTGTGTATATGGTCACAATACAGAGGACTGCCAACACTTGAAGGACGAGTTAGAGTTTTTGGCTCGTAACGGGAAGCTAGAAAGGTATGTTCAGAAGCCTCACACCCAGCAACCCACTCAAACCCATTTTTGTACAGGCGTACGACCGACCTCAAGGACAGAGGTACCAGCACGGTGGGACGCAGGATGCATATCGGGATAACCAGTATCCTTCTGAACAGGGTGGAGCATACCGAGGACTTCCCTTCAACAGGAGAGGACAGGGACCGAGAACTACCGCCACGAATCAAAAAGACAGGAAAGGGGTAGGTTATGCTGGGATACCCCCACCTTTTGGTACCATAAACATGATATCGGGTGGTGTTCACTCTGGGGGCCAAAGCGCCCGAGCCCGCAAGGCATACGCCAGGCAGGTGATGACCATTAATAAGAACAGGCCTCTGAAGCGACCATTCAAGGAGGCGGAGTGGGAAAACACACCCATTACATTTAGCCCAACAGATTACAAACGAGCAGATGGAGAGCCTGACATCATGATGCCACATGCAGATCCTTTCGTGGCAACGGTTCATATAGGCAACCATAACGTCAATAAGGTTTTCATTGATACGGGTAGCTCGCCAAATATCCTGTACTGGAGTTGCTTCCAGAAAATGCAGCTAAATCCAAGCTCGCTGCAAAAGCACGAAGGACCTATATATGGGTTTGACAATCAGCCCGTGCCAGTTGAAGGAGTAATTACCCTTCCCATCTATGTGGGCTCGGAACCAAGGTTCAGGATGGCTTCTGTCACTTTCCTGGTCGTCAAGATGGAGTCAGCTTTCAACGCTATACTGGGAAGAGCCACTCTTTGCGAGCTGAAGGCTGTCATATCACAACCCCATCTTTGCATGAAATTCTCAACTCCTCAGGGGGTAGGAGTGCTTAAAGGAAATCAAAAGATGGCTAGAGCATGTTATCAAAACACATTTAAGAAGGTTGAGCTCGCTGTAGCCCCAAGAGGCTTTGAAAATAATAGGCTGACTCAGCCCGGCCAACAGACAATGAGCATATCGGACATTGAGCATAGACCCGAGGGAGTCGAGCAGAAAGCAGAGCCGGTAGAGCCAGTAGAAACCGTTCCTTTAAACCCAGATGTGCCGGAAAGAACAATAAAGATCGGCACCAGGCTCACAAAAGAAGAGCAAACAAAGCTTCTGGAGTTTTTGAGGGTCAATCAAGATGTGTTCGCGTGGACTACTGATGAAATGCCTGGCATCCCAGCGGAGCTGACAACCCACAAACTCAGCACGAATCCCACCAGAAGGCCGGTGGTACAGAAACGTCGCCTTTTCAGCCCGGAGAAGCAAGCTGCCATAGACGAGGAGATACAAAAGTTGCTACAGGCAGGCTTCATCAGAAGAGTGGAGTACTCTGAATGGGTGTCCAACCCTGTGCTCGTCAAAAAACCAAATGGCAAGTGGAGGATGTGTATTGACTTCACCAACCTCAATGATGCATGCCCAAAAGACCCTCATCCCTTGCCAAATGTCGAGAAGTAAGTAGAGCGGGCAGCAGGACACGAATGGATGAGCTTCCTTGATGCCAGTTCGAGTTATCATCAGGTCCAGCTGTTGCTAGACGACCAGGAGAAAACAGCTTTTTACACTGGTGATGCAATCTATTGCTATGTCATGATGCCGTTTGGCCTCAAAAATGCTGGAGCAACATACCAGAAGCTGGTGCAAATCATCTTTAAGCTCCAGATCGGCAGAAACATAGAAGTATATGTGGATGACATGATAGTCACCAGTGTGCGAGCTGAGGATCACATAGGCGACCTGGATGAAACTTTTCAAAACTTGCGCTGAACACAAATGAAGCTGAATCCCTTGAAGTGCACGTTTGCTGTGGAATTTGGGAAATTCCTAGGGTACGTGGTATCCAAGAAAGGAATTGAAGTAAATCCAGAGAAGGTGCAGGCCGTTCAGCAGATGGAACCCCCCAAGACAGTAAAAGATGTACAGCGTCTGACAGGTCGGGTGGCTGCGTTGCACAGGTTTATAGCCAGATCGGCAGAAAGGTGCCTTCCGTTCTTCAAAGCTCTTCGGGAGCCTAAAAACTTTCAGTGGACTGAGGAGTGTCAAAAGGCGTTTGACGAGCTCAAACAGTATTTGGCATCCGCACCCCTGCTGTCCAAGCCTGTCGATGGGGAATGTTTATATTTGTATCTGGGGGTCACAGAAGAGGCAGTGAGTTCGGTCCTATTGAGGGAAGAGAATAAGAGACAGAAGCCTATCTGCTATGTGAGCAAGGTATTACAAGGTGCCGAGCAGAACTACCCACTAGCAGAAAAGGCTACTTTTGCTTTGGTCTGCATGGCTCGTAAGCTAAGAGCCTATTTTCAGTCTCACCAGATTGTTGTCTATACCGATCTACCATTGAGAAAAATATTACAGAAACCTGAACTCTCTGGTCGGCTTATTGGATGGAGCATCGAGCTGAGTGAATATGACCTGAAGTTTCAGCCACGCACAACCATTAAAGGCCAGGCCATTGCAGACTTTCTGGTAGAATGCATCTCGGTGACGGAGGTAGACAAGGCGCTTGATTACCCAGCCTGGGTTCTGTATGTTGATGGAGCTGCTAACATTAAAGGGTCCGGTGCTGGGGCTGTGTTGATAGGCCCAGATGGCTTTAAATCTGAGCATGCATTGCGGTTTAAGTTCCAGACCACTAATAATGCTGCTGAGTATGAAGCCCTCATCTATGGTTTGAAATTGGCGTCCGAGCTGAAGGTACAGAGCATACAAATTTTCAGTGATTCTCAGCTCGTGGTGGGCCAGGTAAATGGTAGCTGTGAAGTTAGGGATCCCTAGCTTGGCCGTTACACCTCTGTGGTCAACAGATTGAAGTCAAGATTTGCTTCATTTCAGATCGACAAAATACCAAGAGCTGACAATCACCGAGCTGACGAGCTGTCAAAGTTGGCCTCCTCGCGAGACTTTAACCCTCAGAGGTCAACCATCGTCGAAGTGCTGGATGCTCCGAGCTACACTGATTTCACGGTCGAGTGTCAGCTACTAAGCACAGATCCCTCCACGCCGAGCTGGACTACCCCACTCATAAATTATCTGCAAAGTGGCGAGCTACCTAAAGATCTGTCTGCTGCGAAATTGGTTAAACGAAAGGCAGCACATTTCACTTTGTTAGATAACCAGCTCTACAAACGAGCAGCCTCAATGCCCCTATTACGCTGCCTTACTCCTTACGAAGCTGAATACGCTGTGAGAGAAGTTCACGAAGGAGTATGTGGCACGCACATCGGTGGCAAAACTTTAGCTCGGAAACTCCTGAGGCATGGATATTACTGGCCCACTATGGTCGAAGATGCGTAGAACTATGTCAAAAAATGTCTGACCTGCCAGTTCAACGCTGATGATATACACATGCCAGGTATCTGAGCTTGTTCTAAAGATCATGCAAACTTCTTGTTTGTCTATAAACGTAGCATAAATATCTTCCTTGAAACAGGGGAAATGCTATCGTCCCTCACATCTCCCTGGCCCTTTGCTCAGTGGGGTGTCGACCTGCTCGGCCCTTTCATCAAAGGCAAAGGAGGCTGCACTTTCCTGGTCGTTGCAGTGGATTATTTCACTAAGTGGATAGAAGCCAAACCACTGTCCACGACAACAGAAGGAAAAATAGAAGAATTCTTGTTCAATTCAATAGTGTGCAAGTATTCTTTGGTGACCGAGGTCATAAATAAACTATATGCAAACGTGATTTGTAGCTCAGCTCGCTAATCTGTGTGCAGGTTCGGCATACCTAGGCGGATTATCGCCGACAATGGGCCACAATTCCGAGCAGCAGCATTGAGATCGTTTTGTAACGACTATGGCATTGAGCTCGCTTTGACATCTGTGTACACTCCACAGTCCAATAGGCAAGCCGAGTCCGCCAATAAAATCGTCTTGCGGGGACTCAAGACGCGCGTTTTGGCTGCACGTACTAATTGGGTTGACGAGCTCAATAAAGTGCTGTGGTCATGTCGTACTACTCCCAGCTTGGCCACAGGCGAAACCCCGCTCAGTCTGGCCTATGGAGCTGAAGCCGTCATCCCAGTGGAGGTTGGATTGCCATCCGATAGATCAGATCGTCACGACAATCAGAATAATGAACAACTCTTAAGAGAGAACCTAGACTTTGTGGAAGAAATCAAGGAGATGTCCCGAATAAGAAACATGGCACATCAAAGTCGCGTTGCAAAATTTTACAATAAAAGGGTTCGAGCTCGCCAGTTTCAAGTTGGTGATCTGGTTCTACGCAAGGCTGGGTTAACTAACACTCATTCACACATGGGCAAGCTCGCTCCTAATTGGGAAGGCCCCTATATGGTGGTTTGGGTTAAGCGACCTGGCTCTTACGTGTTAGCAGATATACACGGGCATCAGTTACCTTACCTTTGGAACGTACAGAATCTTAGAAAGTTTTACAGTTAACGAGTATAATATTATTTCGCTTAAAGTGTTATTCGACAGTTGTAAACAAAGATATACAGGAAATGCAACAAAAGTTCAAAGGAAAATTCATTTTTGTATTTCATCAACAGTGTTACATTAGAAGTACATATGATATGAATCTATTGATCAAATACAAAAATGCCAAAACAAAAATACAAAAGAATGAAGCAAAAACTCCTAAGCCTAATCGTCCGTCAGGTCGACAGGCATGGACGCATCAGCCGCTGGGGAGGGCGAGGAGTGAGCCGGAGGCGAGCGCGCAGCTGGCTCGACAGCTGGTGTTTCGACCGACAGCTCCATGGTGGGCTGAGAGTTGGGAGGAGTACTCAACGGCTCCTGCTCAGCAACAGGAACCCCTTCCACCCATCTATCAAATGAGGGCATACCCGCTAGGTCCTCCCCCTCTTCCAAAACTGAGGGAGGCCAGACAGGTACTCCCTCTTCATTGAGGTCCCACCTCAGCCGCACTGTAGTCTCAACGAGGGGAGCAAGGCTCTTACCCTGCTCGTCAAGTTCCTCCCCATCGAAGAATACCAGCTCGCGGATTGGAAAATATGGGCGGTGGTGCAACACCTTTCCACGAATCTCGTTGTAGATCTCCGTGGTCATGTTAGCAAACGCCACTGCCACTGCGTCTTGGAAAGAGGAAGAGCCGACCAGCCACTCTGCCCCTTGAGCTCAGGCAATGCCTACAGAGCGTGCGTGGTGAGTCTTCAGCTCGTTCAGCGCCTCCGCAGCAGTAGTGAGGTTCTGCTCGGCGTCGGCGATCTGGCGCCTAAGGGAGTTCAGCTCGTTCTGAGCTTGGTCCCTTTCCGCCTCGGCACTTTTTGTGCGCTCCTCAGTGCGAGCGGCCTCATCCTTGGCTGCCTGGATGCCGCTCTCCTTTTCCGCGCAAGCTCGCTCCAAGTCCTCCCTGAGCTCGTTGTTCCGGGTCGCCAAGGTTTCTGCTCAGCTCTCCGCCGCCGCTGTGCGGTTGGCCATCTCCGAGCCTTGCAGACGATTGACATCGTCCACAAGGCTAGCCTTCTCCGTGGCCAGCTATTTGCACTTTGTTTCGAGCTCGGTGTTCTCTGTACGAGCCGCCTGCTCGCTCTTGTACAGTGCTACCGCGTAGCTGAACGCCTGCCAAACAGTTGTCACTGTTAGTCTCTGAAAAGAAAAAGAAAAAGTAAACTGTTCAAGCAGGTACGAGCAGGTACTTACATCCATCAATTTGATCATGGCGACCTGACCGCCATGCTGTTGCACAAAGGCTTTGGCCCGCGTATTATCTGAGGGGGGCACAAAGCTGTGCATGGCTTGCACCATGGCAGGCTGACACTCTGCCCGCACATAGCTGAAGCCCTCAGGATAAGCAATCTTGGGGCCCATCGAGGCCGATGCAGAGGCGGGCTCCACTGCTACCCGCACAGTCACTGACGGTGCGTTCGGTGAACGCACGGTTACAGGACGAGCCGCCTGTGTGTGCTAAGTCCCCCCACTTGTTCTGCACCTAGCAAGGGGGACTTCATCCTCCTCACTCTCTGTCTCCTCGCGTGCACGTCTGCGTGCACTTGGGGCCGCAGCCTCAGCTCTGTGATCTGCTCGCGGCCTTGACGACGAGCTGGATCCCCTGTGAGACGAGCCGCGTGATTGAGGCGCTAGGGGAGGCCGCTCGTCAAACCGTGTTGGCCGGGGTTGCGCGCTGCTCGCCCCACGGCCTCGGGAGCTCTGGGCACGTTGACGCTGGCGTTCCAGTATGCTGCTCATTTCACCTGCACAAACAAATACATAAGCCTCAGCTCGGCTAGAATCCATGTTATATGATGAAAATATACCTTCGCTGAACAGGTTTGTCACATCGACAAACCCGAACACGGCGAGATGCTCCGAGGTAACCAGGGCTTCTAGATCTATAAGACCCTCCCTTTGCGCATACTGAAGCAGCTGGTTCTTCAGATCGACATCCCGGGGCAGCAGCTGGGGGTAGTTGATGTGGGCGTTTGGCGTGCGCCACTCAGACAGCCGGGCAGCGAGGTCGTTGCTTATCCTCTCTGCTCGTGTGTCGCGAACAAAAATAAACTGTCTCTTCCACCTCGCCACTTTGTTCCTCACATTTTTTAAGAGCTGGCTCTTATCCCTTCCAGAGAGGTAATACCACTTCGCTCCTCGTGAGTTCGGACACAACCGGCACTGGAATAGCGACCTGAACACTATCGCTTTAGCTGGCACCTCCAATCTTGCGCACAACAGCATAAAGCCTATGATGAACCTTATGCTGTTGGGCGTTAGCTGCGTCAGCGCCAGCTCGTAATCCGTGAGCAAATCGAATACCAGGCCGGGCAGGGGAAACCGCAAGCCGGCGTCAAAGTGGTCCACATACACTGGGATCCAGCCCGTTCCCGACACCGTGCACGCCCTTTCGTTCTGCCCGCCAGTCCGCAGCAGTATGGTTTTGGGGATGTGGTACGCCCTCACCATTTCCTCGAGTCTTTTATACCCACTTATAGAGGGCGCACAATCTGCTACTTCGTGATGAAGTACAGCCTTGAACCTGAATCCAGCGGGCAGGTCCTTCGGTGCTTTCCGTAGGTTACTCAACCTGCCCGAGATCGTCGCGCCTTCCCATTCCCCAATCACTGGCCGATCTGAAGCACTGCTCACCAAATCCCCCACCCCTTCTTCACAGCTGGGTGTCTCTTCAGTAGACGAGCTGCTTGACGGTGCACTAGGGTGATCACCACCGTTGTCGCTGGCGCTGGAACCGGCGCTGCTCTCAGACGCCATTGTTTCCGGTACATCCTGCAACTCCGACGGCACTATCATAGTGATAGGCTCCACTGACAAAACCCTTTCCTCTTCTCCCTCTCTACCCTGGTTACCTCGTTGCTCTGTAAGCTCTCTCAATGAAACCATTTTACCTGAAAATGATGGGAAGTTAATCCAGTGTGCTGTTCTTCAAGCTGGAGCGTTTCGCTTCAGAGAGTTTTAGAAAGTTTAAGCAAATACAAAAATGAAAATGAAAAGGGAAACGGTTACTCAGAGAGGGATATGGTAGTGTTAATTGCCGTACGCGTGTCTCTGACGCGCCAACTAGCATCCCACACGTGGCATGCGCTTAACGTCCCTTCTGCATAGTGTGCGCCGGCTTTAGCTGTCACGTCCCTCAAATGCTGAGCCAGCATTTATGACGGGGAAGACAGAGGGATATGGGGAGATCAATCGTATCTCCTCAAAGATTTGCTTGATTCAAAAAATCCAAAGATTCAGATCGTCATTGCTGATGTGTACCCTATACTGTCACATCAGCTCGCCATTGCGAGCACACTTACCAGGTCATCACAAAGATGACATATTCGCCAGATCGGCTCAACCGTGCCAAGTCGTTCACGAGTGTAGATCTTTTACTAAAATCCCCCAAGATTCAGCTCGTCACATATCGTGACGACAAGCACACTTACCAGGTCGTTACATGGATTGCAGCTCACACCAGGCCGCAAGCCTTTGCATAAATTAATGGGTGCATGAGGTCGCCCTATTTGACAGCACTACTCGTGCGAGCTGATAAAGTGGCGGTCAAAAACATCAAGTCGCACTGCATGTGAGGTTGTGTCGCCTCACCTCGTGATCATAGCTAACTGAGCGTCACCTGGTCGCACTTCGGTAGTACTCAAAGGTCAGGTCGCCATATGCCCGAGCTGAAAGGGCGTTATATACATGACTTGTCCCTGTGCGAGCTCGTCTGTTGCAAATCACTTCAGCCTGCTGCCATCACAAGCCCACACTGGTGCGGCCAAGGATATCAGCTCGTCTCCACGCATTCAGACTCCCGAGCTCGCCTCTTTTCGTCTTACCTCTCAGCTCGGCCACCGCCAACTAGAACGTTGACCCACGGTCACATCCATCCCAGTTCGTCAACCGAACATCGGGGGGGGAGTAATGTTGGAATAGGCCCAACAGGCCCAACGCCCAAACAGGGCTATGCATAACGGGCCTAGGTTACCACCTATTAACCCAAGCTGAAGGAGCATCAGTACAAGCATACCCACGTGACCAGCGCCACGTGGGCCAATGGGGTGCTCACACATGCAGATATATGTCAGCACCAAGGGGCTATAAATACCCCCCAACTACCTCCGATGAAGATAATTAATCTTTACGCTTCTCTCTCTGCAATTACTCCTTGAGAGCATCTCTCTCTAGAATATTGAGTATTGTTGACTTGAGCGTTAGAGTGTTTTCCCCGAAGAAACATCCTCGGGATTTTCAGGTGTAGAAGCAGCTAAAGACTTCAACAGTGTTGGATTGTGAAGCTGCCCAAACAAATAGGTGCTTAAAATTTCATCTCATATTTAATATTTAAAAAAATACCACATTATCATTTTTTTATCACTTAAAATTTTCACATTGTTTATGTACAAAACAGAAAAAGAAAAGAGATGGTCCGTCAAACATGGCACATCATAAAAAATTTAATAGAGACCAAAAAGGAGACAAAAAAATAATTTTGAGGGATCAAAAAGAAAAATTTTCAGTTAAAGAACTAAAAAAGACAGCCGTATAAATATGGGGTTTTAACCTTTTGAGTTAATGGTAATATTTTTGAGCAATAAATTATTGCAATTATGAAATTTTTTTTTTCTAAATTTTGAATAATAACTAATTCATTGCAGTTTTCATTATTTTGGTCTTATTGCAGTTATCCTATTTGTTCTGTTTTTACTGTTTTGAATGCCCCCTACTGAACTATGGTAAGCAACAACGTTTACAATGAGCCTCTTTCTCTCTCTCTGTTTATTATTATTATTATTATTTAAATTTCCTCCAGTTTTTTGCCATATCTTAATTATTCTTCGTAGAAAACAAAACAAATATAAGGATTTTTTTTTTTTTTTGGCTGTTCTTAGCAATCCAAATATATAATCTGAAGTTGATGGATGAGTATGCCCTTGAGGTTATACGTTTCATATGTGGGTCAATATCAAAGTTAGATGATGAGAACCAATTTGTGCAAAGTGGAGCAGTAGAAGCAACCTTTCAGGCTATAAAGAATGGTATCCCTGAGGCTTTTTTTTTTGAAAAGCAAAGAAGATATATTATGTGAGTACAAAAGGTATTCGAACCCATAAAACAAACAAAAAGTATATCAATCATCAGTATTGGGCTCCAAAAACATAATCAAAAGTAACCCAAGCCTAATGTCTAGAACCCCACTCTTCCTCAAAACTCTATTTCATGTTAGTTAGGCAACTCACTGGGTTAGAAACCCATTCCATGAAAGAAAATTCAAGGTTTAACAGATTTCTTACCCAGTGAAAAGCTCGAATTTGTACTATTTCAAATAGCTTGTCCTCTTTAGGTTTCTTCTTCTGAAAAGAAGCTTCGTTTCTGCTCAACCATAGAGACCATACAATGGTGAACCATATCGTTTCCAATCCCTTTCTAAGAGTTTTTGAGCCTTTATGCCATCTGTGTTGCTGGAAGACGTCCAAACAATTGTTCCCAAGAGCATATTGTAACCCCCACCAGTTGAAACATTTTCTCCATAAGTTGGTGGCAATTTTGCAAGACACAAAGAGGTGATCGCTATGTTCTGGAGATGATTCACACCAACAGCAGTTGATACTTTGATTACCATCCAAGATCCCACGCATTGCTAAGTTAACTTTCGTAGGAATTCTATCAAGAAGCAATTGCCATGAGAATGCGATTACTTTTGATGGAACCTTTGCCCTCCATAGCTTTCTATACTCCAGCAGTCTTGTTTCTTCTTTCTTTGCAAGCTACTCGTATGCTTACCTTGTAGTATATTTTCCTTTCACATCTAGGCTCCAGCTCCAAGTGTCCTCAGCATCTTGTACCGGGTGTCTGTGATTTATAGCTTCTATTAGTTGTTGCGTACTGTCCTCTTCCCATGCTCGGAGTGGCCTTCTCCACTGGAACTTCCAATTCCAGCATCCTTCCATCCAGTTGCCCATGTTAGAAATGCTGCAATTTTTTTTTGTGGCTAACAAAAAAAGTCTAGGAAAAGAATTAGCAAGTGAATCCCCTCCAACCCAACTGTCTTCCCAAAATCTAACACTCTTCCCATCCCCCCAAATTCAATTTGACATTTGAGGTCAGCCACCCATCTTTACTACCTAGGCCTATATTTAGTTTACAAATATCCCTCCACCAAGATGAGCCTATATTCTGACCCACCTTCAACCACGACAACCAATTCCCCTCCTTGCCTCCATATTTTTCTATTAATACCCTAGACCACAGACCCTTTTCACCTCCTATCAATCTCACCCACCATTTTCCAAGTAAAGCAATATTGAAATATCTCAAATTTTTTACTCCCATCCCGCCCTCACTTTTACAGCAACAAACCTTATCCCAAGATACCCATGCAGTCTTTCTACCTTCCTCAACACCTCCCCACAAGAATTTCCTCCTAATTTTATCAATTTTATAGATTACCTGTTTAGGGAGCAGATGAACAGACATCATAAACACTGGTAAGCTTGACAGCATAGAATTGATGAGGGTGATCCTACCGCCAAGTGACAGGAATCGTCCTTTCCAACCTGAGTTTTTTGTTGAAAGTTTCAATCAGGGGTTTCCATGTGTCTATCCTCCTCGGATTTGCACCCAGCTGCATTCCCAAATATTTGCATGGAAGGGAATCAAGTTTACAATTCAGCTTATATGCCATTTTTGTGGTCCAATCTTCATCAGTGTTGACCCCAATAAAAGAGCTTTTCTTGTAGTTAACCTTTAGGCCTGACACTAATTCAAAAGCCCTCATAATGCATTTCACTGTCCAGATGTTTTCATTTGCCTCCCCCATAAATAATGTGTCATCTGCGAATTGAAGATGGCTGATTTCCAACTCCCATTTACCGATCTTTACTCCCTAAAGAAGCCCCTTTGAAACAGCTATTGAGACCAACCCATTCAGTGCCTCTGCCACGATTAAGAAAAGGAATGGCGATAAGGGATCACCTTGTCAGAGCCCTCTTGACATTGAGAATTGTTTGGTGGCTGACCCTTTGACTAGCACAGACACAGTATTGGATTTCAAGCATTCTGTGATCCACCCCCTCCAAATTGTATTAAAACCCATTCTTTCCATTATGTAATCGAGAAAAGACCAACTCACGTTATCATATGCCTTTTCGAAATCAATTTTGAAAATGAAGCACTGAGATTTGCTTTTCCTCACCCCATCAATTGCTTCGTTCGCTACCACCACTCCAACTAATTGTCTACCCTCAATAAATGCAGATTGATTCTCCCCAATTATACTATTCAAAACCCTACTAAGTCTATTTGCTAGCAATTTGGCAAGGATTTTATAAGTGCAACCAATTAAGGAGATAGGTCTATATTCCTCAATACCTTGGGGGTTTTCCCTCTTCGGTATCAAAACAATAAAGGAAGCATTAGAGTCTCTTACTAGTCTTCCATTTATGTGGAAGTCCATAAGATACTCCATGATGTCTGCTTTAATCACCTCCCATTCAGCTTTTAAGAAACCAGAATTAAAGCCATCTGGTCCCGGTGCTTTAGTGCTATCACAGTTCCACACTGCTGCTTTAACTTCTTCTATGAAAGGTTCAGTGAGCATGCTTCTGTCTACTGCTGAGATATTCTTGAAATTCCACCCCTCTAGAATTGGTCTTGGCCATCCTTCATCAGTGAATAAATTCTCAAAGAATTCCATTATTCCCTGCTTTATGTCCTCAACTTGCTTCAACTCCTTTCCTTCAATGGAGATTACATTGATTTCATTCCTATGCCATCTCCCCTTTATGCATTTATGGAAATAACTGGAGTTTGCATCTCTTGTTTTTAGCCAAGCTTTTCTTGCTTTCCGTTTTGCCATTTCATCTTTCAGTTGCATATTCTTTAGTAGCTCTGTATGATGAGTGCTTCTGAGTATGATGTCTTCATTTGTTAAGCTGCTGGTTTCCCCTAGTCCATCAATTCTGTTTATTTCTCCCCTGGACTCTTCTATTTTCCTGTCCACCTCTAGCAAAGAAGACTTCGACCACACCCGGAGAAACTCTTTTGTCATCTTCAGTTTCTCTTTTAGAATAAAACCACCTCGTCCTTGAACTTTTAGCTCTTCCCATTTTGCCGCAATCATTTGTCTGAAGCTCAGGGTATTTAACCAAACATTGAAGAATTTGAAAGGCTTTGGTCCCCAAATTCGTGCCTCATCTTTTAGTTTAATGGGACAGTGATCTGACAAGGATTTTTGAGTCCCCATTGCTTCAAGTTAGGCCATTTCATTAGCCAATCATCATTTAGCAAGAATCTGTCCAGCCAGCTCATGCAGTGTCCATTTGGTTACCATGTATACTTCCTCCCCAACAATGGCAAATCTGTCAATCCGCTGCTGGCTATAAACTGTTCAAAATCCTTTATTCTCTCGTAACGCTTTTACCTCCCTTTCTTTCCTACAAGCTTCTGATAGCATTGAAATCTCCTCCTAGACACCAGCACCCCCTGTTACTACTTATCAACCGCTCAAGCTCTGTCCATAAAATTCTCTTCTTTGCCAAATCACACGGGGAGTACACATTACATATAAAGCATGGGTAAGCATCAAGTCCCCAAAGTCCCTGAATCCTGATAAAGCCCTTCCCTTCAAAAACATTTATTTTCTTGAAAATTTCATTATTCCACACAATAATCAACCCTCCAAAATTCCCTAAGGATGGTTTAGCCGCCCATTCCATATTCTCTGAATCCCATAACCCTCTATCTATCAACATTCTCCATTTTTGTTTCTTGCAAAAATAACACTTCCACTCTATGTTTTGACACAAGCTCTCTAACTTCCCTCTTCTTTCCACAACCCCCCAAACCCCTAATATTTAATGATAAAAAAATCATGGGTAAGTAGCAGTCACCTGATTTCTGGTGTGGCTACTTGCTGCGTCTTTTCTCCTTTTTTTCTCTATCACGCTGCTCCATTTCTTCTAGCTTTCTCAATACCGGGATTTCACTCCCATTCGCTGTGACCCCCAATTCTTTGATTCGGCTCCATATAACTTCTGGGCCTCTGAAATTGTCCTTCACTGTGATGTTCTTGTTGCAATTCCAAATATTGCTATCATTAATAGAAGCATCTGCCACCGAATCTGTTCGATCTGCTTCAAAGATGATCTGCTGCATCATTTTTTCTGGTTTTACCCGATTCCCTCTTTTTTTCTTCAGCAATAGAACACCTTTACGCCCACCGGACTGCATGTACACTGATCAGCATGTCTTGATCCTCCGTTTTTGCTTTTTGTTCTTCTTCCCCTCTGCTGCACTCGCCCAATTCGGAGCTTCCTCTGAGTCGGTGTTCATGTCTTCCCAGAAATCTGATTCAGCTTCTATTTCCCTCATACTCATGTGCTTTGCTTCTTTCCTTTTTATTTCTTTTTCTTTAATAGGCCTAACCAGTGCTGTTGGGTTTGTGGCTCATGGTGAGGCCCACATTTTTTGGCCCATTACTTCCCTTCATGGGATCCACTACTGGTATCAACCCAACCGGCCCACTGCTCTCTCCACTTTTTTCCGTTGGAGCCTCGGCTATTTCTGTAACTTTGTCTATTACAAAATTTGAATTGCTTTCCCGTCTCCTCCCACACTTCTCCTATTTTGAAATCACGCTCGTTCCCAATGCTTTCGCTGCAGACATCCTTCTCTGCACACATCAGTCTCATATCCTCCTCGAGCCCGTCGATAATTAAATGTTTCCTTGTTGAACCTTCCATACCACCTGTTGTGTTTGTGTCCTCTTTCTTCTCGTCAAAGTTTTCATCTGCACCCTCTGCCATAGAGGCTTCATCATCTACTCTTTTAACAGGACTTGGGTTTGTCCTTTCTTGGCCATTTTGAAGACTCTTTAGCTTGATTGCTGACGTGTCTCCTACTTGCTGTTCCCCTATCTCCGATCTTCTCCCATCATCTTCTGCAATTGTTTCCGGCACGCATAGTATTGCTTCCATATCATCCTCTTCACCTCCTTCCCTTATTTGCTCGAAATCCAGGCCAATGAAGCTATGATCTATGTCATCAGGCTCCTCTGTTGAGCTTTTAACCCCATTTTCACCACCACCATTAATTTTAAAATCTGAATTCATAATATATAATCCATTGCTGGACTCCTCCTCAGAAAATTTTACACTGTACACCTCTCCATTGATCTTTATGGCCAAGGTTTTTGAAATTGATTCCATTGCTGGTTGAAATGAGGAATCTTGCTGCATCTAGACGCTTTTTCCCACTGGTGCTGTCATCTAAAGAGACAAAAGTGCCCCAAAGGTTTCCAAAAGATTGGAAATATTTCAGCTTCCATGCATGTAAAGGCAATCCCAAACACCTAATCCATGCAAACCTCTCCGTTGCTACCGTTGTAGGCGTCCACGGTTTGATTTCCTCAAACCATTGTCCTAGCTAGTCTTGATCATTCTCAATTAAAATTTTAAAGTCTCCATAATCATGACCTTCTAACAAGACCAATCTACCACCCATTGCTCTGATTTTGCAAAAGAATACTCCCTCCATAAAAAACTTCTCCTGCAAAGTTGGTATCAAAGTTACCGAATGGACTGTTCCAACAAAGGATTTATCCAGCCACTCATACTCCTCCTGGTCCACATTGAACTCCATTCCTGACCATGCTTGAGATTGTTGTTTCGGTTTCCATCTCCATTTTCTTTGCTCGAACATCCAAGGCTTTGTGACTTGGTCTCTATTGCCTGCTCCCTGGTACTGTCTCTTTCTGCTTCCATAATCATGGTTGTCCGCAGATTTCCTCTGGACTACCTCGGCATAAGACACTTTTCGTTGACATTCTGTATCAACTGTACCCAACCCTTTCAACTTGTTGCCCCTGTTTCTGTGCTGGTAGTCCTCTTGCCATGTCTTCTGAAACCGTGGTTTGTTGGCTTGAAGATTATATCCTCCTATTTGAATCTGATTCATCTTTCGTTCCAGCTTCCCAGCATCTTTTACCTCCAGGAAGCGAACAAAGCCAAATCTTCTTCCCCAACGATCTCTCCTCTGAGGGCAGTCCACTTCGATTACCCTACCCTCCCCTAAACTGTTAAAAGCTCTCCACATCTGTTCAAAAGACCAATCTATCGGAAAATTTGTGAAGAAGAATGGTGTAGCTTGGTTGTAAATCCTCTTCTCAAATCCCCCATAATACTGCTTCGGACGATCCCTTCCTTCCGGATGGTAACCCTCATGATGCTGTGCTGTCCACTTACCTCGTGCTCTGCTTCCCGTTGCTCTCTCCGACCCCCGCCCTCTCATCGCTCTTGGCATTAATGGTATCCCTGAGATTGCAATTGAATTAATTACAAAAGCTAATAATGCAAATATATTGAGCAGGACAGATCTTGAAGACTCAAGGAACATGCTTGCATCTGCTGTAGCACATCGTCAAGAGAAAGTGGCACGCTTTCTTCATGAATTTGGTGCAAGCAAGGAAACAAATATGGTTACTACCATCGATGAAGATGGGAACAATATATTACATGTAGCTGCACAATTAGCTCCTCTTTCTCAACTGGATCAAATCTCTGGTGCACCTTTACAGTTGCAAAGTGAACTACACTGGTTCAAGGTAATCTCATATTTTAACTTTCTTTGTTATTTCATATTAATTAAAATAGGTTAAAATATAAATTTAATCCCTCAACTTTTAAATTTGTACTAAAATTTCAACTTTAAGAACTATCAAAATTATCTTTAAAATATGATGTGTAAATAGAAATAGATTACAATGACAAAATATAATTGTTTAATTTTATATGTCATTAGTATTTAAAAAAAATTGATTTTATAGTAAGATAATAAGTAATGTGACACTTCTGATAATAAAAAGATTTGACATAAAAAATTAAAGTTCAAGGATAATTTAGTATTTTTTAAAGTTAAAAGACAACTTATGTACAAATTTAAAAGTTAAAGAGATTAAATTGATAGAGAAAATGTGCAAATAAAGATATTAACTTTACTCTTTTTTTTATTTAAGAATATCCATTTTATCAATTTTCTAATAATTTCAATTTTTAACTTTTTTTTATTTAAAAATATCAACTTTTAACTTTGGTAATATTAATGTGACAATAAATTTTTTAAATAAAATATTAAAAATTGATATCTTTAAATAAAAAAATTAAAAATTGATATTTTTAAATAAAAAAATTAAAAATTAACATTTTTATCCACACATTTTCTCTAAATTGATATTTTAACTATTAAAATAAATTTTCACTTAATATCTGTAACAAATGCAGTCAGTGGAGGGCATTGTTCCACGGTTCTGCCACAAACAGAAAAATAAAGATGGTGAAACTCCTACCCAAGTGTTTCTCAGAGAACACAGGAATTTGCTAAAAGAAGCCGAAGAATGGATGAAAAAGCGGCAGAATCTTGTTCAGTCGTAGGTGCTCTAGTTATTACAATTATGTTTGCTGCAGCTTTTACTTTTCCTGGTGGAAACAATGAAGAGACAGGCTTCCCCGTATTTTTGAACACAACCTCTTCTAATACAACATCGGTTACTGTGGTACCGTTCATGGTATTTACAGTATCAGATTCAATTTCTCTTTTTGCTGCATCTAGTTCAGTCCTAATGTTTATGGGGATTCTCACTTCTCGTTATGCTTGTCAAGATTTCCATATATCTTTACCCATGAAGTTGATGATTGGCCTTTCTGCGCTCTTCATCTCTATTGCAGCAATGATGGCAACATTTTGTGCTACTCTTCTCATGTTGCTACACAATAAAACAGGGACAGTCATTTCAATAATATTTCTTGCCACTATTCCTATCACTTTGTTTATATTGCTGCAATCACCTCTTCTTGTTTAGATTTATACCTCAACTTTTCGCCCAGACATCTTTTACAGGAGAAAGTACCTGAAAAGCAAAATGAGATTCTGCTTGAGCTTAAATAGGAGATGGTGGCTCAGAACGAGGAAAGGAAGGATGGTTATCATGCTGTGTGCTTTGTTTTTGCTTTATTTAATTTCATTTGCTTGGTTTGTAATTGCACTTTAGGTTTAATTTATTTTGTTTTGTATGCCATTGTTAGGACGATCAGTGCTTCAATTAATTAGATGACTGTATTTTATGGACAAAAATTTGTAATGAATTTAAATGCCTGTCTTACTTTTTATACTTGAAGTTCAACGGATCAAGCTTTAAATATTTATATATGTTCCTAAAATACCCTAAGAGAGTGTAACATGATAGAGTTGTGGAGATCAAAGGTATTACACTGATGGGAAGTGCTATAAGCTATACACTGTAGACATACTATATTTTTTTTTGGCTATGAATTGTGGAGGACTAACCAACCTGGTTGGCTGGCAGCTGTTTCCTAAGGCAGACAAACAACACTTTTAGGGGCATTGCATACCAATCAGGCCCTAATAAGGTATCCAAGTTTGATTAACTCTTGGCTCAATACCATTTTCTCTTGCTTGTCTCTCCTTTATCACTCTTCTAGTTTGCTTTTAATTTAGCTTAAACTATTTTGTTCCTTTATTTTCCCTAACTGCCAGTATCTAGAACCTTTGAACTTTCTTCTAATACTGTGAAGTAGAGAAAAACAAAGTTGGAATTAATAATGAAATGAATTGAATTTCAGACATAGAAAAGAAAATTAGAGCAAATTAAGATATTTTTCATTAAATTATAATAAGAGCACCAGGGTAACACCTTAATCATCATATGTAGGGAAGCAATTAACTTGTCAAATTCCATAAATCCTCCTTTTATCTGTTCAATCAAATCCTCACCACCAACAATGTTTGCTCTCACATTTTTTGCTTCCTCACATTTTCGACTATATGGTATCATGTTTAGACAAAATAAATAAATTAATGAATAGGCAAAAATTCATCTAGATGCACAAGGTGAAAGAGAATGGCAACTATGCTACATAAGCTAGCAAATCCCCACATACCTAAATGATTAAATATTCACTATGAAACAAACAAGTATCTTACAAATTTACTTATTGCTAGTAATAAATGTTCACCATGAGTATCATACCTAAAGTCATTCGTTTTTGATATAATTCATGATTATTGTTAGTAATTCCCCACATAGTAGAATCAAAAGAATCAAAAGGTATTTAAAAATTCTAGTCAAACAAACCAAATGAGATAAATCAGCAACTTATGAAGCATGAAAGTGGAGAAACTACCTTGAGCAAAAATAACCACCTTAATAGTTTGCCTAGTTCCCTTGGGCAATATCACCTATAAGAAAAATTATAGGTAAAGAAGATTATAAGATCATGTTATCTCCTACTATTAAGTGTGGTCAAATTGAAACTTCCCTCGAAAACAGAAAATAAGCTTAACCAAGTCTCAAAAACAAATTTTGCTTAATATTCATATCAATTAAAACCCAATTAACATGGACCAACCTAAAGTTGTAACAAATTAAAATGAAATTTAATTGAACCAAGAAAAATCTCATTTGCCATTACACATTAATCACTCAATGTCAATCCCCTCCTGAATTCACAGAATAGCGAGAGAAAGAGCAAGAAATCCAAAGTTGAAAATCACCATCCCTTAATCTGATCAAAATCAGAAAATAATTTATATAGAATCACACAAACCAAACACCATGCTTGGTACGGTTTAGAAAATTATTTGAAAGTAAACAAGAAAAGTGTAATAGAGAAGCAAACCTTCAAAAGGTTTTGACCTATTGACCATCATTAGAACCCAAAACTGAGACACTGACCTTCCTTTACAGCTTCACCCATGAAGGTAGGAAACAAAGGCAAGGAAATTAGGGGGAAAAAATATTTCCATGTCACAGTCGAAGCAAGCTAAAAAAACAAATACCCGGAGTTAGAAAAAACTTTGTAGCTTCTTTCGACTAGCTGTTGTTTTCAAACAAATATCTCTGCTTCTCCCTTTTAGTCACTTTCAATTGTTTTCTTACTTTTTCCTCTCAATTGCTTTGCGATTCCCATCTCTAGAAATATTTGTTTCTCCATCTACAGATGAATCCATGAAAAAAAAAACATAAATCAAAGACGCAATAGAAACGAAATCAAAGGAAAAAAAATGAAAAATACAAGATTTAATGGAAACAAATTGACAAAAGAGTGAATCTAGGGTTTTCGTCCCTAGAAATGTTTTCGATTTATGTGTTCTTGGTTGCCAATAGAGTGAATGAGAAACTTAATTTGAATCTAGGGTAGAAAATCAAGA